CATGCTCCTTCGCTATTCAGTAACTATTGGGAAGTATAGGACATTAGTTGCGTTTGAATGCGATATGTTTTAAAGCAAATTATAAAATGATTTAGCTTTACACAGAGTTTGTGACGAACATTAATTAATTAATTTATGATGCAAATATTGTACGTGCCTTCTTTAATTAAATTGTACTTAATAGGTTTGCCACCGATAAGTGGCAATAATCCATTAAATGACCATTTATTTTCAATAAAATTAATTATCTCGTCTAGGCAAGCAAAGCAGAAGTATTAATTAATTTCAACACTTATCAATAATTACTTACGAAATATTAAAAAGGACGAAACGTGTAGAGGAATTTGCCAATTTGAAAAACAAGCTTAAACGTGACAATTAATTCAGTCTTAAAATTAGCCACTTAAAACTGTGGTCACACCGAATTGGTAATATTTTTTTATAATTTAGAAAATACAAACTCAAAGTAAATAAACATTTCTCGGAATGAATAAAAAATTGTTTGACATAGTGACAAAATGAAAACAATTTATTGTAAGTAAAGTATTATTCCTCCGTGCAAGAAAACTCATTAAAATGCAAATTGATACAAGCATAACGAGAAAATTAGCATTAGGTATGAGCGACAATATTGAAAAGTGACTCAGCGACCCAGTCCATCACCTCCGGTTGAGCCTACTATATTATTATTATCGACATATTGTGGGATCCCAGAATTTAAAATTGTCACAAATTTCCTGATTATTTCAATTTTGATGTCAATTTATATAGCCTACATAAATCAACTTATGGTATGAGGAAACTTCACTGTACACTTAATATTTAAGAGATGAGTTGATTCTAAGATAAAATGTAGAATAAGTGTTAAAATATAGAATAAGTAGGTACAAATTGTAACAAACTAAATGACATATTTTAAGTGCCCTGTGAAGCTTTTCTAAGAAGCTACCTATTACATAGCGGGGATAGTAAAATCTGAATTTACTAAAATGACGATGCTTTACTTATTAAACGAATAGGTACTGTTTTCTGTGTGCTTAGTGCGAGTTTTTAACGTTCTCGATAGCGTAAAAGTTACCTAAAATTTGTATGCAACAGTACAAACTATATAGGCAAACGTTCCACCTCCATATAAATTTGACTTAACTTTTACGCTATCGAGAACGTTAAAAAACTCACACTAAACACACTGTTCGTGTTATGGAAATAATTTATTCACATTTTGGTTTCGTGAACCGCCTCTTCATGTCTTTTAGGACTGGAACTTTTATTCTATGTTTACTTTATACATCGCAGAATCTATTGTGAGAAAAAAATTAAAAAATGGCTCCACGGTGGTGATGTGTTTTTAAACTTCTTTCATTGGTCACACTCAGTGACGCAAGCCATAGTGAAATGGATCGACAAGTCGACTAGCAAGACCGCCCAAACCCTTGATCAATAGCCGTATAATTCGATTAGAAAAATTGAGGTTGCATAATCTTAACTGAACGTTGAACTCGAAATAGTTCGGTGCTCGCAATGATTATTCAGTTTATCAATGGACACTTTTAATAGAACCGAGAAAACTGCCGACCTAATATCGGCTTCAAAAAAGAAAAACGTGATATAAAACATGAGACCTGAATTTTGCTTTGTAATAAACAGAGCTACTAACCTATTGGCATCGGCCATCAATGGCAAACGTGCTAACGACTTAAACGAATCACCGTACATTTTAAACTATGTTAAGTTGAAACATCGGATAGTAGCAAAACTAATAATGATAATTAATTCACGCACTTTCCTTGTGGAATTAATAAAGCAATAATTAAAAAAGCAAAATAAACCAATCTTCTGCTCTGATAAAGTGAGAAAGCTTTCCAGCCACGCTTAAAGGGATTACGATATGTTGTCACATATCGTTACTGACCCTTGCTGAAAGAAAGAATGTTTATAGAACATAGATATGGTTCATCTTCTCAAGAATCATAATAATATCTAGATACACCTAAATCAAGGGCTAATACTTTTTTCCAAAAATCTAGCTCATACCCTCCTCAATAGCTAGCATTCCACGAAATCATCACTGAAACCAGATAATTCCGATAATCTTCCCTATTGACAAATTGAGCAGGTTCTGTAGAGCTCTAAGTTTAAGCTTGGTAATTAATTGTCTATACTTCTATATACTAATATTATAAAGAGGAAAGATTTGTTTGTTTGTTTGTTTGTATTGAATAGGCTCCGAAACTACTGAACCGATTTCAAAAATTCTTCCACTGTTTGGAAGCTACACTATTTCTGAGTGACATAGACATTTTTTGAAAAAAATAAGGGTCCTGACTAAAAACCCAATAATGTAACCAAAGGTGTAAAAAAAATACCTAAAATATTTATATTTACACCGCGTGCCCTGCGAAAACTATTGTTAATAGAATAAAATAATGTACTACGACTTTGTAGAGCACATTATTATTTACAAAAAGTGTCGCGATAGCATATGACTAACTATTATACCTAGTCAGGTCATAAATTCTGTCACATGTTTAATGTAAAATAATTGAAACAAGTTTATTCATTATGTAACCATTCATATACCAAAATGAACTTAACAAAACATAGATTCTTATGACACTAAAGTTTATTCAAAATGACCTCCGTGATTTTGAATACAGGCTTCAATCTGCGCGGCCAGTCGTCTATCGCAGCACGAACGAGGTCCATGTCAATATCGGCGGCTGCCTTAATCAAGGATGTCTTGAGTGACTCCAAATTGGGATGAGGCTTTGAGCACGCCTTTTCCTCCAAGTGTTGCCATATCTTGTAATCTAACGGATTCAAATCTGGACTGGAGGAGGGCCAGTCTTCGTGCCGGATGAAGTCGATTTCACGCGCCGCCAGCCAGTCTTGTGTGCTCTTCGCTCTATGAGCTGGCGCCGAATCTTGTTGGAATACCCAGTGCCTGTTATTGAACATGGTATGAGAAACAGGTTCCACAAGGTTCGTCAGGACTGTATTTTGATACACAACTGCATTCGTTTTTACACCTTTCTCACAAAAATGTACCTCTGTTAAGCCCCAATAAGAAACTCCCAACCATACCATGAGCGAGGATGGAAAATGACCTCGTTGGACACGCGGAATACGGTTGCTCGCTTCTTCACTACTGTGTGCGTACACCTTATCATTTTGTTTGTTGTAGCTCTCTTCTACGGTAAAAAATTTTTCATCCGAAAAAAGAATTTCCCGATATTTTTTTCCCGCGTACCGCTTCAACAAAGCGCGGCATCTCTTCAGTCTCAGGTCCATTAGACGAGCATTCAAACGATGTCATGTTTTTCTTCGATATGCCCGAAGCCCTAAGTCTTCATTTAACACCCTTTTCACCGTGGTTCTGCTTAACCCCATCTGAAGGGCCAACAGTTTCTGCTTACGTTTGGGATTTCTTTGAATTCGCGCCTTCACAGCTTTTATCACTGCTGGAGTCCTAACAGACCGAGGGCGACCACTTCTTGACCTGTCATCTACACTAGAGTCTTCATAATATCGTTTGATGGTACGATAAACGAATCTTTTGGTTATATTCAAATTTTTCAGTATGTAAAAAATTTGAATTGGCGCGTAACCGCAACGATGCAACGCAATAACTGCAACACGGTCTTCTTTAACCTCCACTCCATATTTAAAAATGAGTAAAATTCTAAAAGTATACATTTTTATTTTCATGAACAATTTGAAATTCGAATTCAATAAACTTTTTTGTGGCCAGCATTCTAAAAGAAAAGTTTTTACTGTGTGACAATACTTATGACCTGACTAGTTAGTTATGCCGTAATAACTGTTATTTTATTTAAAAAAATAAAACAACGTTAAATATCGTTGAAATTTTTGTTAAAGACCAGAGCGGAGCCGGAGCAGGCCGCTAGTCCTTAATAAAATTTTATAATTTTTCTCATCGATTTTTATTCGGTCACGCCCTTTGTGTATTCCGAAAGTTGTTTTTAATTTACTTCCATTATTTTAAGATTCAAAATTTGTCATATTTTTAATTAAGCAACATGCTTCTGGAAGCTGATTCGTTTCATTTCTCTAGATATATTTTTTTGCTTTCGGAGAGAATGTATTTGGATTCTTTTCTTCACTACTTTGTTCCCATTCATCAAAGAAAAAATTTACGTTGACATGCGAAAATTGGTTCAAATATATATATTTATTGTAAACGTATTTATGGCTAGTCTTCCAATAGAGAACGCGGGAGGTGAATTGTAAAGTAACTGTTAATTTAGTATTTTTTCAGGTTAAACCATCTATTAATGGGTCTTACTCGTATAAACTGTTTAACACCTGTTTATTACTTTTCATAGTACAACAAACAGTTGCAATTGGATAAAATAGACTGTATGATATCATTTCTGTTTCTTTCATTTTTCCTGTTTTAGAAAAGCAAAACCATATCTGCCAAGTTGACACTTGACAGATTCTTTTAAAATGGCGTGTGAAAAACTAGAGCTCTTCTAAATAATTTTTCAGTATGGCAATTGGCTTTCTACGATCCTATTCCAAAAGTATCGAGTTTATTTAAAATACATCAGACAATCAATCATTAAAATCAATTCAATAATTAAAATTTAAATGCATACATACTTTGGAACAAGAAAAATACATTAGACGGAAATAAAGTTCATTTATTTGAAATTGTAACCATTACTGATGGTAATGAGTTGAATAGTCAATAAAATAACTTAATACAATATGAGAGGAGATGAAATAAAATAATCTCCTCCTATTTGTAATATAATTAAAAATCTAAGATCTCCTCTATCCTCTTCATCCAAATCTTAGAATTTTAGTGAGTCGTCACTGGTGTTTGGGCAAGAGCCCAAGAAGTCACATCCAGTGACTGTTTAATTTTCTCACACTTATCATCACTTAAGATGCACAAATATCTTACGCAAATATTAAAAGACCGCTTTTTAATTTAATAATAAGTATAGACTGATAAATTAATACTTATTTAATAAATATATTTGTCGTGTATTCACTTCCATTTAATGAATATAACTTTTTTCAATCTTCAATGTTATAAACGTAGATTAGTTAAAGACAAGCTTGAAACTATGGCCCCACAAACTTTTGTTTGTATTTTTGGTAACTCTTGGTTTTTTGGAATTTGTGAGGTTATTGAATAGTATTGTATCTCTAATTTTATTATTAGCCTCTGTGGTTAATGTTTATCATGTTCTACTTCTAGAGTGGCAACAAGAAGTTTACAATTTTTAACAATTTTCTATTAGGACTTCTTAGCTGGTGCTTTATTAAAATATCAATTCGTATTAATTCTAGTGTTGCATGATAGTAATAGTGACAAAATGATTACGAATTTCGATAAACTTTGTGCTGATTTGGAAAGGCAAGAACTTGAGGTAACAAGTATTTCAATAGAAAAGCTTATCCCGTTTTTACTACAACAATTTTAATCCAAATTATTCCATTGCAGACACCAAATGGAATAGCCAGTCCCTCGACTTACGCTCAGCTATTAGCTATTTATTTGTATCAAAATGATCTGTGAGTAATTTAAAGCAACATTCACTTTATTTCTTATCATAATATTCTTATTTTGACGGAAAATTACATTTATTTTTTAAAAATAATATTTTTATCACCTACAAAGAATACGCTGTACAAAGTTAATACCAATTTACCAATACCAAATACCAAATTATTTAGTAGTACACTTAAAAAGCTTTTAAAGGTCTCAGGGAAGTCTAGTGTGAAAGTTTACTATATCTTGTTTCTTGGCCTGTTAAGTACCAATCAATATATTTTGTTTGCTTCCTAATAAAATATTTATATAACAAAATCTTGTCATAATGACAAAGTATTTATGTGATTATGATTAAGTGAATTGTTTCATATTGTGTTTATTATTATTATTTCCAATGTTTCAAATACTTCAGTTTTCATGCTCATTGTTTACAAAGTTAGTTAGATTAGTAATCAAAAGTAGTTTAATTTATTCTATTAACACTATGGACCTGTTGTCGTTGAGGTGGCCACTCAAGAAGGGGTAGTGCCTTAGTATCTAAGATATTTTATAATTTATAAGGATATGGAGATGTTAGTATATAGCTACTAACAAAGTAGTAAACTCCACTAAATAAAAACTGATGATAGCTAGTAGCCAATTGGTAATAGGCAATTGGTTGATTAGTATTGGTAACAGAGATGATGGTAAAGCTAGTGGTCGATAGTAGAGTATATAGATTCATATACAATATTACCCACACTAAATTGAGTATGTTACTTTAAATTGCAGGTGTAATGCAAAATTTTTATGGAAGAGAATACCACAAAATGTAATGAGTAGCTCCCCTGAAATAGTTGCAATATGGGCTATTGGACAGAAACTGTGGAAAAAAGATTTACCTGGTACATATGAGGCATTAGCAGCTTACTCCTGGACAGAACCAGTTTCCAACATTATAAGAGCTTTGGAAGGTAACCACATTTACTATGAATAACTCATACATTAATAGAAATTACAGATTTTTTTTCTAATCAATTGATTTGCTTGCTACTCTATAAAACGATTGTTAGTATTATTTGTGTGCCACTTGTCATATGTGGATAAAAATATGTTAAAAATCTGCCATAATACCAAGTAAAAATCTTGGTAAAGTAGTTTCAACCTTACAAGATAAAATGTAAATTATAAATAACATTAAACCAAAGAAGTAAATAAGTATTAATATTGAAATTTTGAAATATGACGTGTCAAATTAGGTATTAGTGTAAATAAAATTAATCGGACAATACTATGAAAATTATATGATTCTAAACTTCAAAATACCATTGTACTAAACACTTCTTCATACTACTATGATACATAAACAAAGAGTGAGAGATTCATCATTGTCATCAAATGTCACCATAACGTTATAGTTTTTCTTTAGAAGTCTAAACTAAGTTTTATCGTAGGACATACTGTCATCTCTCTTTTGTAAGTATCACCATCATGCCCATTTCTATGACAAATGAATCATGTGTTCGAGACTAAGAGGTAAGTAAGGCAGCAAATCCACAATACTATTGAGACTCAGAACTTGTGTGTCATGTTTATTCATCAGTATAGTTAGCATACACAATGTAATCTTTATGTGTATATCACAGGGAGCAACATGAAGTCATCAAAACCATTAAAACCAAAATTAGCGTAATGTACAAAATAAATATACTTAATTTGATAGGGTTTTCATATATTGTAATAAACAAAAAAATGTTAGTTAAACTGTACTGAGTTCCAAAATCATAACTACACAACAACAAAAAAAACAATAAATAGTTTTTAGTTTTGCTGCTTTAGGACCTGAAAAATTCCTGAAAAGAATGATTTTTAGGAAATTTTCCCCTAAAATGTTAAAAAAGTTTTCATGTGAAAGAATGTCCAGCAATGTTAAATGAGTATTATATTAACATAGTTTAATCACCAGTCAGTATTTACTTGTTTTTGGGCTTAAAATTTACCACCATCCATTCTATTTCTGTCTTGAAGCAAACTGATGAAGTAATCTAAATAAAAAATATACAATCATATTTTTATTCATCTTTACAGAAAATGTTCGAGAAAGGACTCTAAACCTTATCGGAAGGTCGTACAGTTCCATAAAAATAGATAAACTGATCTCAATGATTGGCCTCAGCAGGGAAGCCACATTACAAGTCTGTCAAGATCGCAGGTGGACTCTACATGATGATGGCATGACAGTGAATCCCTTACCCCCAGCACAACCAGCCCCATTGCATACTTCTAGTGAAGATCAACTTTTCAAACTAACAGAATTTGTGTCATTCTTAGAAAATTAAGTAAGTTTCGAAAATAAATCAGTTTCTAGATTAGATCTTAATTAAAATCCCAAAGCTGGCTTTGAAGTAAGCAACGCAGCCTGTAGAGGCTTAACCTTAACTTTCAACCCTCAAAGGGAATGTGGCTTTAGCCATGATAGTCAATGATACTAAATAATATTTGGGTCATCAAATTACTTCAAGAACTGCAATAAGTTCTTTGTGCAGATAAAAGATGATCTAAAGGTGTTTTAACAGACTGAACAGAGGATGTTATATAAATTGCAATACCTGTTTTGTAGGTGGTCTTTTGCAAGTTGGTGGTGTGTTTCTAAATATCCATAAACTTTTTCATTATGAACATTTTGAATTGTAATTGGTATTAATAATAATGTATCATAGATCAGATATCTATGCTATCTTTTTTAGGAAAATATTGTATTAAATAATAGATCTATAAATTTTAGCCGAAACCCAAATAATAATACAGAAAAATAAAACACCAATCCAAATAAGAGCTTTATTTGTCAAAAGATAATGAAACTTGGATAAAAAATTTACTACATACATGCACACAAAGCAGACGGTTCTCTGTTGCATACTTCAAAGCCTGCTCTTAATCGAAAGCTATTTAATCATTCAAATATATAAATGTAGTTACAACAAAGGCACATTTTAACTAAAATTACTGGTTTTAGGAAAATATATATTTTTCGAATTTGAGACTAAATTTGGTCTTCAATTCATTCAATTGCGATTGCAATATCCAAAAGAACTTAGAAGTTAAAATAAAAGAATTTCATTTATATTTAATCTCATTTATTAACAAAATTGGAAGTCTATAATTGGTAAAAAAAATGGTTTTCTTGACTTCTACTGAGATTATAATGGAATAAAAAAAAAACGTAAAATAAGTTGGCAGTGTAAATTAAAAGAGCTAAATAAATTCTTAATTAAAATAAAGCTATTAATTCTAAAATAGTTTTCAGTGACTCCTTTTTACTCCAGTCACACTAGTAAATTCAAAAAGATTTTTAAAATATCACAAGCAGTTATTTTTAATTGTAATCTCATAACTCCTATCCTTTTTTAACATAAGAATAAGTCACTTGGGACGATTGTTTTGGCAACTCTTAGTTAAAACCTCCCTTGGAATGAAACTTGGTTTTGTCTTGGCTGAAGTCGCATGGAATTTGAGTCATCGTCGTCCCCGAGTGAGGCTTCGTAGGCCCTGTTGATCTGTCCTCCGTTGGGCTCCGAGAATACATCCTTCACTGAAATATTAGCATTCGATGCTCTATGACGAGGTCCAACGTTATTATTGAGCTGAAAATAGTACAATCATTAGAATACCATGGTTACGGAAAAACTTAATAACAATATAAATCATAAAACTAAATAATAAAAGAATTAAAAATATAATATTGTTTAAATAATATACTAAATACTGATGGAGATATTTGCGGCAGGGATGGGTTTCACCATTCTGCCTATTTCTGCTGTGAAGCAAACATGTGATCCCGTGCAGTTGTGTGGTAATGTCGAAGTGTTAATACCTCATATCTGACGCATACGTGATGTTGATGGGCTGTTTTTTTTTAAGCTTAGGTGGACGATCTCACGGTCCATCTGATGTTAAGTGAGTAAGTGCGGGTTTCATTTTTATTACACGATGTTGTTCCTTCATTGTGTAAGTCAATCGTGAACATTTGTTGAGTACGTAACTCAGTACAAAAATTGGTATCGGCCTGGGATTCGAACACCGTTGCATCGCAAGATACGAATGCACTGGACGTCTTATTCTTCAGGCCACGACGACTTCAAACAACTTTAACTATTTACCACGACAGTAGGCGGACCCTCTGCCCATCTTCAGCAATAAAAACAGCATCTTAACTATTTCATACCATTCCAGTAACACCGTATTCATTATTAGCGCCAAGTGTCTGCATTTGCGACTTCCTTCTTTCTGCCATTACAGAGTTACGACGGGTCTCTAAAGCTTTCAATGTCTCCCTTCTCAAGGTCATTTTACGATTTAAAACTGGGGTACCTGAAAAAAATCATAAAAAGCCCTTGAGTGCCTATTATAATTATGATCACTTAATATTATAATAGACATTACTATGGGATGAGTTTCATATCACCCAGGACGGTGCACGGTGGCGCAACATTACAAGAAAGATACTTCTAGAATGTGGCGGTCACAATTCTTATAAATGAGAAATGCGACATAAGCAGGATGATTATTGGAGATGTGTTCTTATAAACTGCCAAGGAAATGAAAGTTCTACGTGATGTTGATGGTGTCGGATACCCAAAAGATTTTTTCTTTCTGCCAAGAAAATGAAAGTTCTTCGTGGTGTTGATGGTGTTGGATACCCAAAAGAATGGACGTCGGTAGTATTTACTCTCATGAAACGAAAGACCATTTGCTTCTTAATTATTCGTGAACGTGGTCAGGGAACGACAATGTAAGGACACTGAACAAGAATTAAACCAATTTGTCAACAAAATCGCACTTATGATTCGCCCAAATTTAGTTTAAGAATGTTATTGACAATAGCTTATCAATGGCAATCACTCAGCCGGTGACAAATACTTCGCTTTATCTTACCCGGACCATCATTAGCATTCATATTGAAGAATCGTTTCTTGAAAGCCACATCTAGTGTTCCTATGTTACGTTTCTTCTGTCTAGCTTTCTCTAAATTGTGTATTGTCTTCCTTCGGCCGACGTTGTGTGGTCCAGATCCTGAATCGTTATCATAATCATCGTCCAGACCGTTTAATTTCTGAAGGTCTTTCACTATTGCTATTGCATTCTTATCCAAAAGCGCATCCTGTGACAAATCTTCCGACTGCAAAAAAATATAGAAAATTTAATTAAAGAGCCGATTTAAGTAATTTCGTTTACTATAATAAACTTCCAGCTCTGTACGTACTTTCTTTGAACAGAACCAGTTGAGATCCGTCGATGATAGAATATGCGAAATAGTTCCGAATCGATGGAACAACATGGCCGAAAATTGTATGACCAAAATCAAGGCAAAGAAGAACACAAATACCAGACCGATAGGCTCTAATTGCAAGTATTCCTTCGAGATGAGAAGCTGAAATTGCAAAATAAATGTTAATCCACGTTTTTTTTTATTATGTTAAAACTTGCAATCACATAAAAGTAGATAAATTTAGAATGTTTAAAAATGCCAATGATTCGTATTGTTCCTTAATAATAAAGTTCAAAGTTCAAAATAATCAGTTCGTTTCTTATACCATATTATTAAGAAACAATAATAGTTATTACGTGACGTGCAAGTGCTGGATTAAATACAAAAATTCAAGACATTGTACGTGTACACTAACATCATGATGATAGTGAGTAAGTATACGTGATCTAGTGTTTCCACGTAATTATCATTCACAAGAAAAGGATTTCAAAGATTTACAACAACATCAAACACAACCTGAACACATAAATCGCAGTCAAATTAAACAATCCACCATTTTTCAGGGATGTGTGTAGTTATTGTACATAAAACACCAGTGAACCTGTCACCTCATTTAATAGAAAAGACACCGCCACCTTAATAAACAGTACAGTCGTTAATTTTGACTCTTGGGTGTATCTAGATATAGTCTATAATATTGGATAAACGTGCGTGAGTATTCACTGATAAAATTATTGTAATTCTGCTGTTTTAATACTGCATTTAAAGGAATAAGTATAGTTATATATTTTAAATTCATTTTATGAAAAATATGTTATTAATCAAAATTATTCAGACAATAGGGGTGGGACTTAAAGAATTTTTCGTATTATTAGAAAAAGTGAAACCAATAGTGTAGCCAAAGTTATTTAGGTTTCCGTGTCTTCGGGATTTCATGCTGTTGTGCCATCCAAAGACAGACCAGACCGGTTAGAAGAAGGTCGTTAGACGTGTGAAGTGACACACATTCTGTGGTAACATTCGGCTGTACCTGGCCTGTTTCCTCCATGTACGTAATGTTTGTCTTAACTCCCAAAGGCCAGACCACGTGAAGCTGATCTTTATTGAGTTGTAATAAAAATACTATCAATATAAATAAAGCATTGAACATAACAAATGCGAAAACTGATTTATTGCGAAGTTCTAGTAGATCGCCTGCTATGCGAGCCTGTAAAATTTAATAAAACAAAAATATATGATACATTGTAATCAACTTTCAAGGGTGACTGGGATTGGAACTTGTTCGGGCAGTTCAAAGGTTTGAGAGAGGCGTCGCGAGTCTTGGTCCCGAGTCATCGTTGAATGATGATCGCTGTGTAGTGGAGTTTGACGTTACCTCTTGTGAGACCTCATCATAGGTAATGTTAGTCTTAACTCCGAAGGGCCATTTAATGTGAAGGTTGTCCTTGTTCAATTGTAGCAAAAATACAATGAGCACAAAAAGAGCATTGATCATAAAGAATGAAAATACAGAAGAATCTCTCAGTTCTTTTAAGTCTCTCGAAATACGTGCCTAAAATTAGGGGAAGGTCAATATAAAAAATACAATAAATGGTTTTTTTTTCTTTCCCTGAAATAAAATTTGCATTAGTGTGTGTACCAAACATTCATATTAATAGATTCAGAGTAAAACGCGTCGGCTTCTTTTCTGAAAGAAAATATTAATGTTATTTTTGTTAATATGTAATCAATCGGAGACAAATAACACAGGGTAATTTGGCCCCTAATTAATTAGGGTCCTGTTTACTATGAGACACTAGAGACAGAAACATGCATAGTTGCATTGATTTTTTTTTTATTAATGTTCGTAACTCGAAAAATTTTCTAATTTACCTTCTCGTCCTTGTCTTCGTCAATAGGATATAAATACTTGTCAATAAGGTCTTTCCAGAATTGTACCTCGGGCGGGCTCAAGAAATCTACTTCGCCTTTTTTCAAGCCGGGATCCTCAATCCAATATGGATTTATAAGATCATCTCGTCGTTCCTGAAATTTAAACGTGCTTCTTATTCAATGTTTGCAAAATACAACAAATCTATGAATCGTGTCTGAGCTCTTACCCTTGGTTCAGTGGATAGAGTGCCGGTGTCGGAATCGGAATCGTTTTCTTCTTCGGGGTCCTCATTAAGAGCGTCCAACTGGTGGTCTCCGTTAGTGCTACCACGAGGGCCTAGCGATAGCTTGCGACTTCTGGATAGACCGTGCGGATCCACGGCCCTGAAATCGAAACACAATTTGTTTTAATAATTTCGAAATTAATATTTCTTTTTTACCATTAAAATTATGTTTCTAACGACTGACTTCTCGACGTTTTCAATTTTCTTTTCCAATTTCTCAAGTGTTGAAGCGATATGCATGAGCTGTACTTTTTCTTCGTTTCCTTTAGGATGAGTACACAGTAAACATTTAAAAAGACCAGCAAACGATAGTTCTATGGAGCCTTCCTCTTCGTTAGAATTGACACCCTGCAGGAAACCAAGAAGGGATTTTTGTTTCGCCTTCTTTTTCGCCTCTTCGGCATCTTTCTTTTCTTGCTCGATTTCCTAAAATAACAAATAGAGTTATGCTCTGCACCACGGCATCGAATTAAAACAGAGCAAGATATAACTCACCTTCTTTGTTTTCTTGGTTTGCACTTCTCGCGTACCCCACGATACTACATTCAGATTTATAATAGAATACAAAATCAAAAGCAAGTACATAGAGGGTATAGATAATAGATAAATGATACCGGGAACGATACACCAGAACTCCTGGGGATGTAAACAGGCCGCTATAAAGAAAGAACTTGACAGTGAAATCAAGAATATAGCGGATGGGGATCCGATACCGTCCTCGCCTAATTGCAGTGCTGTACCCACAATTACAGCCATCATTATCATAGCATAGGCCGTTGATAATATTTGCGCGACCAATAACTGTAACAAACACCATGTCACATAAAATAATATTCAGTTTTTTTATTATATCAAATACAAAACTATAAAACACTATTTTCATACTCACTTGATATTCTGACTTCATTGTGAAACAAACAAACATAAACAACATTATAGGATATAGATTGTATTCGAAGGATGTCCAATTGTCAATTCTAAAAGCGGCCACAAAAGCACCCACCAACATAAGAAATATAGTTCCAGGTCCCAGAATCGTACCGCCCATCAACATCATCTGTAACATTACATTAACGGTAGTTTAAAAAAAATTAGTTTATTTGATATCAGATTTATTCATAGAAGCTTATATTACTTGGTATGCGATGTACGGTGAGGAAATATTGTCATTGATTTTAATGGTATGTTTATAATCCACAAGCAAGTCCATAATGTTAGCAATGGTCGAAGGCACCCATCTACGTCGTTGATTGTAGAACTCGCTAAAACCTTCAGGGCAATGGGTGTAGGCGTCCGATGCAGCTGAATATTCTACACGATAGCCACGTTGAAGTAGCAGAGTGCATAGCCATCGATCTTCTCCTGTTTATAGTAAAACATTAATCACAATGAGAGGTTAAAATCATATACAGAATCAAATTATTCAAACTAAAAAAAATTCTATTACACTAGTCTGCCTTAAAAATTAAACACTAAGCTTGCCTTAGGAACTTTTACGTTAAAAACAACAAACCAGTTATCCTTATACCCTATGCTGAACTCACAAAATTGACTTTTTTGGGTACACCATTATCCCATACTAGCGACCCGCCCTCGCTTCGTTTCGGAAATATTAAAACACACATGAAACCAAAAAAAGAAAAAATAAAAAAAAGTAGCCTATGTTCATCAGGGACAATGTCGGCTTCTAATGGAAAAAGAATTTTTCAAATCGGTCCAGTAGTTTCGGAGCCTATTCGAAACAAACAAACAAACAAATCTTTCCTCTTTATAATATTAGTATAGAAGACGATTTAGTTACAGATATTCCCATATTTACCCTGATCGTATTGTACGTAGTGACGGGCTTCGTCAGATTTCAAAGTATATTTCTTCATAACGTTGTCGTCCATCAGAGCCTTTCCTCTGAACAGCGAGAAGCATCCGGGACTACAGAGCACGCAGCCGATCATGTGTTCGGTGGCTTTTTGCAGCCAATGTCCGATAGCATATTCGAATAATTGATACCACACCATAGGTCCTGTGAAATTAGGTACAACAAACATTGAAAAATAAGATCTGCAATAAATAGGTTGTTGTTAAAGTTTTGGGGTTACGAGTTTGGGTAAGGAAAGGTTGGATTAAAAAAATAAAGATTAAAATTAATTAATTTCGTTGGAAACCTGTTTAACCTAACTTACCAGATCCAACGGGGTGAATACGCCCGCAGGCAGCTCCGAGGTTCTTGTTTTTCTTCATTAAATCAATGAGTAATCGTACAGCGTGAGGTTGGAAATCGATATCTCCATCGAGTGTAAGCAGGTAAGTATTCTCAGCCATAACTTCTTTACGATCAACCGAAATAGGCAATTCCATCAGACGATGACCGAGAAGGTAGTACATGTACATCACCTAATCATGGAAAAACAATTTATTTAATTATTTTTTGTGCGCCGTTTATATTTTAAAGTTAGTATACCGAGTGAACATAAACTGTTAGGACTGGGATTTGAACAAGTTTTGCTGTCAGCTCCTGCACGAGAATTTGGTTACGGGGCAGGATATGTCGTAAGGTTACACGTTCAACTCTTGCTCTTGTTCTTGCTTGTGACTGGCGTTTGGAGTGCAGAATGAAAAGCGCTGAGAGTTGTGTGCTTAGTGTTTAACGTTCTCGATAGCGTTAAAGTTAGCTGATATTTGTATGGAATGGGATCGTTTGCCTACTTTACCGTTAGGGGCGCTGTTCCAACTGCATACAAAATTGGGTTAACTTTTACTTACTACTAACTTTTACACTATAGAGAACGTTAAAAAACGCATTATGCACACTGATCCGTTAGGACCTGCTTAGGACGACGGCGACTGTGCGTGGCCTTGTCGTCTGGCCGTATATAATTAGAAATGTATACCGATATAAACAATTAGAAGCCGATGTAATTAGAAGTTCAAAAAATTCAATATTCACCAGTGTACAGTATACCAGTTGTAACTATACTTGAGACCTTAGAACTTATATCTCAAGGTGAGTGGTGCATTTACGTCGTAGATGCTATGGGCTCCAGTACCCACTTAACACCAAGTGCGCTGTGAGCTCGTCCAACCACCTAAGCAATAAAAAAAACTGAAAACTTCGAAATAAAGAAATGTATGTGATTACAGCACCTGAGACCAACGTTTCCTGTGTCGAATCTTTGCCTTATCCTTCAAGTGACAGATCATTTTAGTCTTTCCTGGTAACACCCATGTTAGTCGACCTCCGTACGGCGCAGGATATCTCTTCGGTGGACGTATACGAATGTTCGTTTGATGTACATTAGAAGCAGCTTCGTCGATGGTGTCTACCAGAAGCTTGACAAACCGGTTTACTTGAGATTCGTCGTCGCTATGATCCGAAATTTCGAAAGCGTCGTCCAAGAAAATGTGAGCTGCAAACATAATGACTTAGTTAATACAAGAAAACAAAATTAGTCACCTACGTCAATTGTAAAAAATTTTCATACTTTCGAATTCGTAATAGTCAGGATCTACTACACGAAGATACTTCTGAGCGACGCGGCGAGCACACTGATCTTCATCGAGACGAAGAATAGATTTCAAGAACTCCATCATCTCATCTTTGGTCTCGTGCCACATAGTAGCACAAGCATAAATCCTCGTGATCTGGTCTGATGATTTCACAGTCTTTGGGGAAGATCCAGTATTGTCTGTATGTACTGATATTGTTTCATAGTATTCATCACCTTTTTCCTTTTCGATTTCGGCAAGATCCTAAAAATAAATATTTCCAAAATTAAATTTTAATCGAATAAGTTAAACCTTCAAGCTCCTAAGCTTCGTTAACTATATGAGTTGAATGTGTATCTATGCTCACTTCTGTTTTGACATCCTTATGGTCATCTCTCTTCCTATTCAGTGCCATACTTTGGTCTATGAGTAGACCATTGTACATAGGCAACACAAACAATTTCTCAGTGGAAGCTAAACGTTCTGCTTTGGGGGTCCAAATATGAATAGTGATCCAGGTTTGTGATAGCAGCCATAACAACCAAACCCATGCCATTTGTCGAGAGATGAAATCGCTCAACGTAAACACTGAAAACACAATAAAAATTATTTTTATTGTGTTATTACACGCTGTAGTTGTATATTTGTTATTCAAAAGAAACAGTGTTACCTGGAGGGCTTTCGAAGAATAGGTAGTCCGGTATCGTTCCATGGAAGAAACAGGTGTCGCCATTTCTGATACCACAAGCAGCAATCAAAAAGTTCACAACCAAAGGTATGACCAAATTTATCGGAAAAGCGTAACTGAACCCTTGAATAACAATTTTGCAAGCAAATTTCCCAAAGATGTAGCAGATGTAGGCTGCAAATATTTGGATCATCATGACGTAGACGGCGGACTTATGTACAGCCGCGATTTCGACGGAGTCTCCTGTAAGGGTTATGTTTGCCAAATCTGGAATAACCGTTCCCCCGAGTTGGATTTGAACCTAAAAAGAGAAATTAATATAATAGTACGTTGCCAGTTTGAATAAAATATAATTGATTCACTATAGCTAAACCAGATCTAAGCGATTTACCTCTTCAACGACGATGCTATGTGGCCCAAATCCAGGGTTGAAAAGTTGGAAAAACATTGCCGGTTCATCTCCGTCCAACCACATGAAGAATAGATTGCAGAAAAGAAACAGTAAAATCTTCCACACGGAGATGAATCGATACGTAAAGTAGCGAGTAAAATTTAATTCCTCTTTTAGTCTCCCTAGGCTTTTGATTATTCCTGAAATTTTAAAATTTTTGCACTTGAAACTATGTATCTTAGATAATAATGTCTTGCTTTCATACACAGGCATTAAATTTTTAAAATGTGATTATTGTTAAATCTTACCTATTGGACTTTGTCGTGTCACATAGTTTTCCCACCAACCTAACGAAATACATAAAGCAGAGATCGGGATCAACCACAAAACAGCTTTGTTTTCCAACAGGGGCCAAACTATAAAACCGGTCACTTGCGCAACTATAGCGGCCATATCGACGATGACTTTGACAAATCGTTTCGAGTCTCGAGAGTTTCTTGACAGCAGACCGAGCACCGCGGGAATTATACAGAGACAGTTCGTTATCATAGCTCCTTTGACTACATCTAATTCAGGCAGGATTTTAAAGAATAATAAACCCATTCCTATGGTATGTAAAGACTCAGCGATAAAGACCTGAAATAGAAGGATTAAATCATTAACTAAAGATATATACTGCGGCGTTGATAAGTTGATAAATACAATGTTTGCGAACAAGAAGCTTTGCTTATATGGAGAACACTAGTTGACGGTTAATGAGCGAACGGCTTATACAAAAAAAATCCCATACCATTTAAAAATGTAAGGCGTGAGTACTTGTGAATGCATTTCATCACAATTAACATAATACAAACATTGAATATCTAGTGGTACGGACACCTCTTGAGCACATGAAGTACCAAGTACCTACATTTTTGTACAGACGAACTCATTACCCAACACACGTGAGGCCCTTATGAGTTCGACGTCTCAATGCTATCTGTCACAGCTGTCCTACAGCATTGAATAATACTATTGCTCATTGGAAAAAATAAGCAAAACGATTAAAACGTACCAGTACTTTCTCAAAAACCTTCATTTATTTTGTTTTCTTTGCACGAAGCATTGTAAAAGTGTTTTTATTCGAATATAGCATTTAATATAGTTGAACTTTCTACAACTTTTCAATGACTTTTAGTACTTACCACAGAAAATTGTACAAAACTTGGCTTCTTTGATGTTTTGAAGAAGCATATTCTTATAGACCTGATCATCGTTCCTAATTCCGGAATAGCAAAGGCAGCTAGGATAGCCCACATCCAGGCAACACGCTCCTCGTCTGGTAAACTCACCACAAACTGCTTATCTCGACCTGAAATGATATTTATTTATAAAGTACAACAGCCTTGTTTTTCTTTTTTTTTTCTACCTATGCTGATAGCCTTGAGAGGCTATTTCAGCTTCACCCTAACGTGTGTAGGTGAGCTCACGGGGCTCAAACCGGAGAGTTGCTAACACTGACCCTAGCAAGAGCAGTGCTTCGCAGAATCTACCACCGGATCGGAAACGCGACCCACTGAGAAGATCCGGCGAGAAACTCAGTGGGCTAACAGCCTTCTAGAAACTAACATTGTAACAAAAAATAAAATCAAAACTCGGATAATGTTTCAGTCGTTCACATAAACCACATTATATTTCAATGTATCAGAAATGGAGACATCGTTTTTTTTAAATTGTAAGGATGACAACTGCAAAAGTAACTTTAATTAAATCTCGCGAAAAAGTAATGAAATCTACGAAGTTCTTTGTCCCAATGGAGCAGGTTTTCAGTTTATTATTCTTATTAGTCTTAGTAAATCCATTAACTTTGTAAGGTGAGCTCGTTTACGCCCCGTAAGCCATAATAAGCTCGTTCATCCATAGGCAATAAATAAATGGCAAAAGGACTCAAAAATATAATTAATTCTAATACTCGTAGGTTCATGAAATAATAAACAAAGTGAATCTCATTAGACTGGTGTAATTCATTGAAACGGTGTGTTTAAAATTAAAATAAAAACCAGTTAAATTATATATACCTACATATATTGTGGGGTCGATTCACAATATTTGCCGACGGTAACAGTCACTAAGGCAATGAAGCGTTCACAATGTCAAGTTCGTGTCACCATTCGTAATGAGTCAAATGGTGAAACTTTGTAATTAGTGTACCAACCGTGAAATAAAGTAAAAACCAAATCCAAAAATTGAATCCTGTATCTACAGCTGTTTTTTTTTTAAATGTAAACGCTCAGGCTTACCTAAGTTTTTATTGCAGAATTCTAATCGCTTGTCTTTCCTAATTTGTGACGTCATGAACAAAATTGTCCCCTTTGCGATAACTCCTGATCCAAGGACCACGATGAAGGTGACCAGGTATGCGACCACTTTTAGCATTCGCACTGTGAATTCCAAACATTTTTGAGTCTCCATGGACACACTGTCCTGTTTCGGCGGAAATTCTCTGAACACGTCCCATCCTTTCGTTTCTTGTACTGTGCGCTGACTGAAATGTAGAAAATATTTTGATTAGAAATAAAACTACGAGAAAATTAATAGGACAACCAGAACAACCTATTCCTTACATACACCCAAGACAATTTTCGTTACCTCATGTGAATATTATTATGAAGATAGGACAATTAATAACATCTAAGCAATGCAGAAAATTGTTTAAACTTTCTCTATTGCACAATAGTCGGCATATCTATCATATAGTGTTTTGTTTAATTGTTACCTATACATAGTCAAACTCGAGTGTCTTAACAGCTTTGACAGATAGTGCTATAAAAATAAGTAATACAATGAGATAATTGTAGCTAGGTAAATAATAGATATTAGTAAAAGGAAGTATCTAATAACTAGATGGGTGGATGAGCTCACGGCTCTGTGATTAAGCTATCGGAGTCAATAGACATCACCCGTGAATGTCGCCACCCACCTTGAGGTGGATTGATGGCTATCATACCATTTAAACCAGAAAAGACGATTGCATTGTGGGTGAAAATACAGAACGAACTCATAAAATTCCCACACTAATTCTATATCAAGGACGTTTATTATAGCTTTTTTAATAAGATGTTTTTTTTCGTTTTGCTCCTTGGTTCTCCTCCTAGCTTACTGGTGGTAAGACCTCATGTGAGTCCGCGCCGGTAGGTACCACCACCCCACCTATTTCTGTCGTGAAGCAGTAATGCATTTCGGTTTGAAGGGTGGGGCAGCCGTTGTAACTATACTTGAGACCTTAGAACTTTTATCTCAAGGTGGATGACGCATTTACGTCGTAGATGTCTATGGGCTTCACTAACCACTCTTAACACCAGGTGGGCTGTGAGCTCGTCCAAACATTTAAGCAATAAAAAAAACTGTCAACAACGACGGAGAAAAATAACTTTCACGCAACGCTCGGTGATGATGTAGAGAAATCTTACGCGCCCACTTTGAACAACTCAAATAGCTACGAACAACTTCCTTCCGATTCGTTTCTGAAAATCGCAACTGTGACCTTCGCGTGTTTAATATCATATACCTTTATGCGGATAGAAAACGAATACTGTGTTCTGTGTTTCAACACTTGCCACGTTCTTGGCGTACCTACTGGTTGTGACAGTAGGATTTACGTAAGACAAAGGTAACATGACTTTAGTAACCTAATTGAATGTTGATAGAACAATATGACGACTGCTTTAACCTCGTGTAACAAATATTTACCAAGAAATTTACATTAAATAATGATTTTCCAAAGTTAATTAAGTGCGCATTTCAAACATAATTTGAAATGTACGAGTATGAATGTTAGAAAATTAACAGATATGGCGTTTTGTGAACCCTCACAGGTACATAATACAGTTTATTTCCACAAATAAATTACTTCTGCGAAGTGTGGTTCGACATTGGGTTTTCATATCTCAAGGTTCCTCTATCATTTAGGTCGTGGTATCTATAAGTCCTTGTAATCACTTAACAATAAGCGAGCCGAGAGCTTTTCTGCCCGTTTATAGTAATAAGTAAATGGTCATATAAAAAAATGTGAGCTAATAATTAAAAATACCTAGTATATGCACTAATATAATTACTAAGCCTATGCCTTAGGTATCGCCACGTTCTTTAATTGTAAAGACGATGATGTGTTACAAACCATAATAGAAAGTTGTTGATTGAATACGATTTAATTAGCCATGACGACAGCGTCAACATACACATAACGTTCACACATACACCTAATAAGTACTTAGTTGTTATGTACATCAACATTTTTAATCGTTTTCTCCCAGTCGCGAACTGAAATACTTTGCCTTCTAATCATATTTTTTTTCATAATTTCGATTAATATTAATCTTTTTATGTATTTATGCTTATTCCATGTATTTTTTGATTCACTAGAGTATTTTTCGGCCGCTTGTGCAATAAAATTGCATAGCTTAGAGGCTAAGATACCTCTAGGTCCGTAAGAAAACTCTCATTACCTGTATATGCTACAGTAATGCAAAGTTCCATTACTGTATATCGAGTAATTGTTATTTGGAATGTAAACGACTTCCTCCGTCTCCTCGTTCTCGTATTGACTCCTACGTTCTTGTTCACTCATAATACAAACAATCACAGCACTGACATCGCAAAAATTAAAAAGAAATTTGGTGAAAGTTGAGGATTTTTTTTTTGTGACAGACAGATGTCCTGTCCGTCCGAATATTGTTTAATAACTCATTGCTTATGAGGACAGGCAACGGTGCGATCGCAATAGTGACTGTTGTGGGGCGATGCGCGTCCACCACGCTGCCCAGTGATTCGCTATTGTTCTTAGTCGGACAAAACGTGAATATTAATTTAAACGAATGAAGGTATTTTGAATGAATGCTAATATTAGTACTTACGGTAATAATACGTGTTATGATTTAATAAAAACATTGTCATAAAGTGATAATTTCGTTTTGAAAATAAAAGCCGCTGAAAATTGTGCGATGACCTCCGAACGGTGGCCGGCAAGAGGTGGTTGAAGAGAGCCGAGACCAGGCTCACTGGTGTGGATTGGGAGAGGCCTATGTCCAGCAGTGGACAATTGTGGGCTGTGATGATGAATTGTGACATAACTTTAACTGATTTGTGCCAGCATACATTCCTTGCTTCTATCTCATAGATAGAACAGATGTAGCTCGAATGATTTTAAACTGTAAACATGAAATGTTAAATAGTTTTGTGACATTAATGTGGTATAATTACTGGTGCACTGATTAAGGAACACGTTTCAAGTTCTGGGGTGTTCTTCAAACTCTTACCAACTTTTCAACAATCTGGTCCGTCAGTTCACGATTTTTTTCTAATGGTATTGACTTCATTCATTCATAAGGTTTCATGTTAATTGACATGGACGTACTGAATAGCAAATGTTATATTTCTACTTATGATTTAATGATGAATCAATCAAGTAAGACTTAAATAATTGTTCGCAAGCCGAGAATATCAATAAAATAGGACTTCCGCTACATTACGGAGAATTTAGCACCGTAGTTTATAAGAATTGTCGCATTATTACTTATGTACCTATCCCTCTATATATTTTAATATTTTCTATTTGCAGACAAAATTAACCTTTTATTTAGAGTGTAACTGATTTACCACCAACGTTATATTAATGGCCAAAGCCTCTACCAAATGTATCCATAGCTCTCTATTATGCACTTGGCCCAACATTTGATGTAGGTACTCACATTAAATAAACACAAAAAACAATTTTATGTTTTGTCTAACGTATAACGTTCCCACTGTGCAGTGGTATCTTGGTTCTGCGGCACTGGTCACGAGAAATTATATCGTCCACTCGTTAATTGCCGACATGCCAGTTTGCTACGATAGCTTCTCACACACAAAAGCGATTAAATAAAAAAATTAAGTCGAAAGTCGAAATTTATCAAATCAGCATAAGTTTAATTTATGTTAAACGGTGCGCTAGATTAAATGGTTTCTGCGCTTGGGTGTGTCTGTTTTTTAATGGCGTAGAGTTAGGTGTGCAACGGATGATGGTACTTCTACTACGCTCAAATAATGGGCAACTTCTTCAGAAAGAATTGGCGAAAACATCGAATAACTAGACTTGCAATATTTTCAGGTTTGTGGAGAGTACTTAACAGTAGGCAGCGGCTTGGTTCTGTCTGGCATTGCGAAGTCCATGGGCAATGGTAACCACTCACCATCAGATGGGCCGTTTTTGTTTATTTATTTTTTTATTGCTTAAATGGGTAGGCGAGCTCACAGTCCACCTGGTATTAAGTGGTTACTGGAGCCCATAGACATCTACCGTGTGCCATATGCTCGTCTGCCTACAAGAGCAATAAAAAAAAACATAGTCTTATATGTCTATCTGTAATTTTTGAGTTGTCTGAAAAGTATGTAAATTTATATTATTATAATATTGTGTTGTATATTATGTACATATCTACATATGTATGAATGCTTTTTGTGTTGTTTTTTAATTGCCCATTATTATTTTCTATTTAAAACAAAAGTGCCTCTACCAAAAACAATTCGTGACAGCACTAGCACCGACCACTCTTGGGTTTACTGGGAACGCCTTAGGCATTAAATTAGCTATTGTATCTTTGTTTGTAATATAAATAAAGTAGTGCTTTGAGAAGTCCAGCGTTTCATACCTGTATCTTGCGAAGGACTGGTTAATGAAAAGATAAGTAATGAACATTGATCGAAGTAGTTTTTAGCTTTGGGATAAATGTATGTGTTTAGATGAGCAATACTAATATCGGGACGGCAGATTAAAATCTTCGAGCCACAAATTTATAATACGTAGGCGTGCCAATAGCCTAAATGTATAAACTCAAAAAATAACACAATTTAAAGAAATTTTGTTATTTACTTTCTATCACGAACTGTAGTCCTTATTGTGTTTTGTAAACTATTAGATGGATTATAATTTTATCATATATAATTATTTACGAGTATTTATTTATTCTACAATATTCTTCGTATATAAATGCTAAACTCATTTTAGAGCCTTTAACTTTTGACATATCTTTGCAACATTCACACAGTCACTAACATTTTAGCGAGGTCGCAATTCGAACCTAATCTTGGCTATATTTAAATATAGCTGTGACCTTAAAATGCACACGATCTAGCCTAGCGCATTATGCCTTGAGGCGGTTCGAGCTAAACTCCAGGTAAAACAATTTACTTTAAATTTGGTTTTTTTAAATAGTTTGATCAAACGGAATAGCTCCAGTGTGCGAGTTTTTTAACTTCTCGATCGCGTAAAAGTTAACTCAAATTTGTATGGAGTTGAAACAGCTTCCCTTCGTTTGCCGCTAGGGGCGCACACAACAAATATGCCCCAAACACGTAACTGCGGATCCTCCCGATCCGTTAACGGTGCTTTTAGGTATCTCAAGCACGACGAGTAAATGAACCCATAGACGCAGCCCACTGAGTTGCTCGCCGGATCTTCTCAGTGGGTCGCGTTTCCAATGCGGTGGTAGATTCTGTGAAGCACTGCTCTTGCTAGGGCCAGTGCTAGCAACACTCCCAGTTTGAGCCCCGTGAACTCACCTACATGTCAAGGAGAAGCTGAAATAGCCTCTCAGGGCTATCAGCATAGGTAGGAGAAAGAAAAACAAATATTAGCGAATAATATGTAAATAAACCACACCGTGAAAACCACTGCCTTCCAGGTATATCGAATTTCCAGTTACTACAGTTGCAGTAGATAATATAGTACAGATATTTCGTCTTTTACCGAGAGGCCAAGTGATTGCCATACCGATAACCACTGGCCCAACGACCTGTATTGTTAGGATGGTGGGGAGAATATGCTTCACGCTTAATGTGTCTGTTATCTTTTCCCCTTGTCTGCCTCTTCCGAGTTCTGTTTCGTTAAAATATGCTATATTTTATTTAAGTAAGTTAGTGCATACATTAAAATTTTAGCCATAAATACTGTTGCTGTAAATCATCACACTAATTTTTAATATGGAGCCCGTCATATTCACGTCAAAATTAATTGTGTTTTCTTATTTTCGCGCCAATCTTTGTTAATTTTTGTTAACGAATTTTACTCAAAGTATGTACGGAGCAAATGGCAATTTTTTTAATCTCGATCCGCTATGAACTTTCTATTACTTTAGTAACCGGCTACTGATAGAAATAATAATCTCGGATTGTAACAGAAAACGACCTGGACCTCCAGGTATTAGTCGTACTATGGGGGCGGCCCTACAGGCTGGCGCGCAATGCGCTTCGGCCTTGCGCTCCCCCTACGACCAGCACACTGCCGCCCGAGTTTTTTTTTTTATTTTTTTTATTGCTTAGATGTGTGGACGAGTTCACAGCCCACCTGGTGTTAAGTGGTTACTGGAGCCCATAGACATCTACAACGTAAATGCGCCACACACCTTGAGATATAGTTCTAAGGTCTCAGTATAGTCACAACGGCTGCCCCACCCTTCAAACCGAAACGCATTACTGCTTCACGGCAGAAATAGGCGGGGCGGTGGTACCTACNCCGTAAGTTTCGTGTAGTCGGTGTGGTGGAGCTCGATGGGGTTTAGTCGGTAGTCGTTCTGCGGGGCAAGTGCTTCGCGCGCCTTTTTCAAGGCGTAGTCTCCTGTGAGAAATTGGGGGAGGTGAAGGACCTCGGCCCTTCTCTTCTCCCCTTCTTCCTCTCAGGAGGCGCCGGAGTCCGACATAACCCGGTCCGTTACGACCGGGTATCCGTAAATGGATTCCCCAGCGTTAAAAAAAAAAAAAAAGGTATTAGTCGTACTAAAGGACAATTAAACCAGTCAATGAAATAGTCCGAAGAAGTCTTGCTCGAAAGCAATATATTTTCTCTAGACAAATAAAAATCTCACCGAGAATCATGTCACGTGTTTTAAAAGATGACTTGAAACTTTCTGTTTTTAAAAGGTGTACTCGTCATTAACGACCGATCGATAAAAAATAGGATGTAAAATGAAAATAACTTCTTATGCAGTAGGATAAGGGAGTGCATAGATTAAAATAAACCTAATTTTTTTTTATTCAACAACATTTTAACGACGGAATTTATGATCAAAATTCTACAGAAACTTCTCAATAAGTCAGTAAGGTATAACTTGGACCTTATTCGATTTCAGCGTTAGTTTTGTGAAGGTTGACGATTAAGTGGGAATTGAGACATATGCTTATTAAACGTATAAGCGTGTGTCAGATTCTTGAATGCCATGCTCTACAACAAATAATGGTACTTTAAGCAACAGCGTTTGCAGAATTAAGGCTAAGGGAAATCATTTTCATTGTTTTTCATATTATTATTTAAAATCATTCTAAATTTAAACAAAACGAAAACGTACCGTAGTAACAGATGTTTCATGTAATAGAGAAATTACGTTGTTTTCCTTGTATCAAAAATAACGGCAAGCTTATTTTATTATCGACCAAAATAAATAAAATATAAATACATCCACAGTTTCTTTGAGTTACTATCACTACTTTTCTATCGGTCCGCAATGGTATTATCGTATTGGTATAGCATTCTACCCTCAGTTTTGAGTATTAATTTTAGGACATATGTGTCTACGCTCTACTGTATTACACCGTATTGCGTATTTCTCTCGCATTTGAAGTGAGAATAGCGACTATTCCAATACAATAGAAACTTTGAACTATAGCCTTGAG